TATAATTTATCACATTTTACTTGGTCTTGCATATCATGCTTATATTCACCATGTTATCATGCTTTACGTTTTCATGCATTTCTCCATACTTAGTACATTCATCGTACTAATGCATACTTTTGCCACTATTGTCTCAAATATAGGGTCAGACGCTCCTCCTCATGCTTGTGGTTTTCTTGGATTTCTCTATTAGTACATGTATTTGTGAGTCCTCGTGGATCAAGGACAAGACCATTTATGTTGTATTTCTTTTATCGTTTTCTAGTTTCAGACTTGTACATGGTGTATGAGTTACGTCCTAACCACTCTTATGATGTTAGAAAGGCTATGTCAGACACAGTTTAGTTTTCTGCACTTATTTCAAATTTCTCTTATGATATAAGACTTACATTGCCTATTCTCTCTCTCTTGTTATATTTCATGTATATCATGCTTTGTCAAGTGTCTTGTTTAGGGCCTCTCGAGATACTATTCTCCATGTCACGTCTAGGGTATACTTTGGGTCATGAGAGATGGTATGTTTAAGTTAAGTGTTAATGCAATAAACGATGCTTCTATTTATATTTTTGTGTCTGGTTCTTATTTATGGCATGCTAGATTAGGACATTTAAATTTTGATTCTATAAATGAGATGTATAAAAATAGTTATATTAACTGTAAATTTGATGATGGAGAAAAGTGTGAAATATGTATACAAGCAAAAATGACTAAGAAATCTTTTCGTAAAGTTGAAAGATTTATATAAATGTTACATTTAGTGCATTCTGACTTATGTGAATTAAATGGTGAATTAACTAGAGGAGCAAAAAAATACTTAATTACTTTTATCGATGATTTTTCTAGATTTACACATGTTTATCTCCTTAGAACAAAAGATGAAGCATTTCAAAAGTTTAAGGAATATAATCAGTTATGAAAAATCAAAAGACTAGAAAAATAAAAATTCTTTGAAGTGATAGAGGAGGAGAACATTCACTTTAATAAATTTTGTGAAGATTAAGGTATTATACATTAAACTAGTGCTCCTTATACAACTCAACGGAATGAGTTGGCTGAAAAGAAAAATTAAATCTATAGCAGATATGGTTAATTCTATGTTGTTGAATTTTCACTTACCAGTACATAATTAGTGGGGTGAAGCTCTACTTATTGCTTGTCATATATTAAAAAGAGTATCTTCCAAAAGTATGCATGTTTCATTTTATGAACTCATATCTCTTATTTTTAAGTGTGGAGGTGTATGTATATCTTTTATAGAGTTCTTGGCCATCAAAGAACAAAGTTGGATCCTAGAGGAATAAAAAGTATTTTTTGTAGGATATGTACAACAATCGAAAGCGCATAAATTACTTGATCTAGAGTCTAATGTTGTTGTAGAATCTATTCATGTTGAATTTTTAAAAAATAATTTTTTGACTGACGTTATTCTTGAAAATTTGACTGAAGCAAATCAAAGTAGTCTTAATGAGGAAAAGATGTTACACTCCAATAAAAGAAAAAGTGACAATACTCATCTAGAGCTAAGAAGAATTCAAAGAGTTAGGAGAGAAAAAAAACTCGGTCCTAATTTTATCTCCTTAGAATTGCTAACTTTTCTAGTGGGGGAGATGGAATTAAAGTTTGTAATCAAATGCCTATTTTGTTTAATATAGAAGAAGATCCTAGAATATTTGAAGAAGTTATGTCTTCAAGAGATGTTACTTTTTGAAAAGAGACGATTAATGATGAAATGGATCATTAATGTCGAATAATACTTGAATTTTAGTTGATTTGCCTCATTGATCAAAATGTATAGGTTGTAAGTGGGTATTTAAGAGAAAATATAATAGTACTATACAAACTTTCAAGTTAATTGCAAAAGGCTTTACTCAAAAGAAAAGTATTGACTACTTTGATACATATGCCCCAGTAGCAAAATAACATCTATTAGAGTACTTTTATCCTTGACATCTATATATTATTTGTATGTACATCAAATGGATGCATCCCTAAATGAAGGTTTAAATGAAGAAATCTACATGAAACAACCGGAATGATTTGTTTTTTCTGATAATGAACATAAACTTTGTAAGCTAATTAAGTCTATGATTTGAAACAAGCACCAAAACAATGGCATGAAAAATTTTGATGGTGTGATATTATCAAATGAATTTGTATATAACACTGCTGAAAAATGTATTTGCTCCAAATTCACAAAAGTTTATAGAGTTGTCATTTGTCTTTATGTAGATGACATGCATGTTGATTTTTGGTACAAACATGCTTGGAATTTATGAAACTAAGAAATATCCAACTTCAAACTTTGAGATGAAAGATTTGAATGAAGTAGATATTGTTTTAGGTATCAAAGTTAAGAGAAATAATAAGAGAGTGACTTTATCACAAGCACACTATATTGATAAGCTACTGAACAAGTTCAGTCATTTTGGCATAGAGAAATCTAATACTCCATATGATTCAAGTATAAAGCTTACAAAAAATAATGAAAGAATAATGGCTCAGTTAGAATATGCAAGTGCAGTTGGAAGTTTAATGTATGTAATGCACTGCACTAGGCCTCATATAGCATTTTCCACCAGTAAACTTTCTAGGTTTACAAGCAGTCCAGTAGCATTCATTGAAAAGCTATAATTAGAGTACTTGAATATTTAAAGAAAACAAAACATTTGGGGATCTGTTATAGTGGTTTTCCTACAATATTATAAGGATATTCTGATGCAAGTTGGATTACAAGTACAAATGATAATAAGGTCATTTCAGGTTGGATATTTACTTTGAGGGGTGGCTCCATTAGTTGGGCATCCAAGAAACAAACTTGTATTTCCCATTCCACAATGAAATCTGAATTCATTGCATTAGCAGTTGTTGGAAAAGAAGCGGAATAACTGAGAAACATGTTACTAGATAAAAAGTTATGGACACAGCCTATGCCAGCCATTTTCATATTTTGCGATAGTGAGACTACTATGTGCGTAGTTCATAATAAAATGTATAATGGAAAATCAAAACATATAAGCTTAAGACATGCTTATATAAAAGAGCTACTTACCAGCGGAATTATGACTATAGTGTATGTGAGATCAAATAAAAATTTGGTTGTTTCTTTTATAAAATCCTTAAATAGAGATGCAGTACAATAAAGTAGCTAGTGAAGGAATGGAGTTAAAACTCTTAAATTAAACACAAATAATGTAATCCAGCTTTGAGTTAGTATACACTCTGACAATATAAGTTCAATGGGTAATAACAAGTTATTTGTGTTGTTTAAGCATGAGTCTCCTCGCTTAAATCCTTCATTTGTATTGTTTACTGTTATGGGAGGAAATTAGAAATTGTTAAATGTCTGTAATTATAGGGGCTTAATAACAAATTTCAAAGTGCATATTGTTACAAGAAAGAGGGTGAATTAATTCTTAATGAGATTAGCAAATGTTTGTACTAACAGGACATATAGTCTATTTTCACCTATATGAAAATTGAGATGGTGCCGCTTCGAGCAAAAATTTAAAGAGTTGATCTTGTAAATATTCATGAATTTGAATTAGCACACATGGTCGTAAATGTGCTGAAGCATAATATTGGATTGTTTCGCTACTTAATAATATTATGTGTGTGATACTTCCGATTTAACAAAAGGAGTTGTGGTCCAAATCTTACCAATATCTTCGTCAAACTTTAATGTATTTACACTAACGAAAAGTTAAAATCTAGTAAGATACTTTTCGATATGCATGATATTATGAGACATATTACAAACTAATGAGGGATTGTTAGGATAGTTGTAATATAAAGGGAAAGTTCTCACATTGGTGGGAGAAACCATCTTTTATGTCCTTTTAAGGTCTAGCTCATTTAGTCTATTTAATAAAGTAAGTCTACTTATAAATATTTAATATATATCTAAATGACTTGGACTTGGGGTTTGAGCGCGGATCGGATCGAATCTTTAATTAAATTTAAAGATTTATTTTTCGTAATTAATTTTGAACAAATAGTTCATTTAAAATTTAAATTTAATATTTAATATTTAAATTTTAAATGAAACAAAAAGTTTTGTATATTCAAATAAGGTGCAACAAAAGTTTTGTCTTTTTAAAAAGGAAGCAACTAAAAGTTGTGTTTGTTCAGAAACTCTTTCATGAAAAGTCATTTGTTCATGAAAGAACATGACTATTATGAAAAGTCATTTGTTCATGAAAGAACGTGACTGTTATGCAAATGCATCTCTTAAGTTCTATAAATACGAACCATTCCCAGAAATAGCGTATTCAATTGCATATATTGGATCATACAAAATCTCTTACATTACTAATATCATGAATTTCCATGTATTAGTAATACACACATCAATACAATAGAATATATAATGAATAGGCTAAAAAGTGTACCAAACAAGATATTGTTAGGAATTGTTTGATAGAGTGTATTAGAAGAAATAATGCATGCATTAGTTTGTATATTAATGGGGTTGTTTTGTAAGGTGTATAACAATAATGTTAAATAAAGTATATTAATAATATTTGTATTAATTATATTTGCATTAATTATAAAGAGATTAAAGTACATCCTTCAATTTTAGAGGTTAAAGCTAAATCTTGAGGATCCATACAACTTTAATCTTTGTATTATTAAAAAAAACACATCTAGACTAGTTCTGTCACTTGGTCTGAACTCATTTCTTCTATTCCTATGATTGTTCAGTGATGGATTTTCTCCTTTTAGGATTAGGTTTCTATCCCGTGTTGTCTCGAAGAGACAAAACAAAAGCACTCATATGAATGGTGCTAATTCCCATGTTCTTTCTAGTCTCGTTTGGTTTCGAGAGCCTCCCTCTCCCTGTAGGTCGAGCCTCCTTTTCAGTCGCCCTCTCCCTGTCCCTTACTCATCTTTCATTTTTTCGCAAATTTTATATCATAATTATCAATGTCATATCTCTATCTGAACTATCACCTATTATATAAAAAAAAATTGCCACGTAGGGAAGGTTATCTATTTTAAACTCATTAGTGTAGTGTGTGTGCTAAATTGGTTGAGGAGGCAGCTATGGTGGTGTTGGGAGTGGTTGTTTCTCCACAGGCACAGCATATCCTCCTTTCAATTCCAACGAAAATTCCTCCTCAATATTGTACAAGGCGTAAAGCTTTGATATTTACTTCTTCTCTGTTTTCCTCTTTCATATATACATCTCATCACTCTCCTGCTACTGCTTTCCAAATCGAAATGCCTCAACAAGAAGAAGATAGACTCGTTCATCTCTTTCAGGTAAATTAAATACAAGAAGAAAACCCAATAACTGACTCTCTCTGTGTGTTGTAGATTCCGTTTCAATTTATTTGTCTGATTTTGACTTGGCTTCGAATATACCTAATTTTGTAACATGGAAAATTGAAATAGAGTAATTAGCTTCTTTATTCTTTACCTAGACTAACTTCTTGTGTTACCTGCTGCTATCTTCAATTCAGTGGCGCATATACAAGAAATCATGTGTTTGCCTCTACTAGGATTTGAAGTTGAGACCTATACTTATTGACTTAGGTATGGCCCAAATGCAGAAAATATTGGCTGTTTTATTGTTCAAATATTATTGAAGAATATGTGAAAATAACCATTTCCTTTAATTGGAGTAGAAACCTGGAACAATTCGATAAAGGACCATTTTTTAATTTGAAGAGTCAAGAATGTGTTATATCCCTATATCAAGTAAATGTTGTTCCCATCGTTCCAATATATAACACTCTTTTTAGTTGAACAATCGGAAAATATTTGCACTATTCTATTTTTAGACGACTTTCAACAATTCAAATTTATTAAACTTCAGTGTAAAGATTTCTCCATCAAACTAACTTTTAAATAACTACTATGTACTTTCGTTATAACTAATATAATATTATACACTCCTTTCATATAGAGAGGAATTAATGAGTATCAATTTCCCTCCCTTCTTTAAGCTTACAAAGTTAATCTCCAGACCATTTGCTACTGTATGGAAAGTGAAGACTGAAAATTGGATGTCTTGAAGTAAGAAGTCATTATATACTAACCGAACTTTGTGACTCAGGTATCTTCATTGTATAATGTTGGAAGTGAACTCTTGATAGTTGTGACTTGTACGCTTACTTTGCAGTCGTTGTTAATCTAGTCAAAATCTTCTTGTATCTGAAAGACGTGTGTCTCGTGTTACTGAATAGATGGTGTAGAAAGGAATTTGTGCATTATTCTGAAGACCTTGAATTGGACATCTAAGTGGACAGATCACATATACATTGAACAATAAGATCCTCCTAAGCCATTTTGCAGTAGTATGTTAGTCCACACAAAGCTAATATGGTTTAGTATCAGTAAGAATGCCATAAATCAGACCCACGAGAAATTTAAATGTTTCTTAATGAGGTCATGAATAAATCATCCAAAAATCGTCACAACAATAATAAGACGAAAGTATCATTTTTGTCTTATCATGTTTATTGATTGGTGAGTTTATCTGTTCGAAATGTAGTAACAGAACTGATGATGCAAATGCAGGAAACTTCCCCTTCTGTTGTTTTCATTAAGGACCTTGAGTTGGCTAAAGGCTCTAATGACTCTACTAAGGTGCTAGCCGACGATGAGAATGCAAAAGTGGAAGGGACAGGTTCGGGCTTCATTTGGGATAAGTTTGGTCACATTGTACGATTGTTCGACTCTATGGATTACAAATTTGCAATGAATATCCGAATTTTCCATGTTAATTGGATGAACTCTCTGCTGCTCTCAAGAAAGTTAAATGCTTGATGTCAGACTTGAATTAAGATTCCATTGGTTTTTTGTTTCCCGCCTCCAATATTTTCACACAGTTGAAATTCGGTTGTCTCGTTCAAATTTCTGACCCTGCTTCAAATCTTGCTTCGAAATTTTCTGTAAATTTGTTTCAGTACTAACCTAACACAGTGTACTTATAATTCTAAAATCAGACAGTTTGCTGAGCATGGGGCATGATTATTTTGGGTTTATTGCAGGTAACCAATTACCATGTCATTGCTAAATTAGCTACTGATAACATCGGATTGCAGCGTTGTAAGGTTTTTCTGCATTCCTGGTGTTTTATATCCCTTTGTTTTCAGTTCTTATTTGTATATTCAACAGGACTGCTCCATTTCAGGTAATTCTAATTTTAAAGGTTTCCTTTTCAGGTTTCTTTAGTGAATGCTAAAGGAGAAAGCATAGTTAAGGATGCGAAGATCGTAGGTGTTGATCCAGCAAATGATCTGGCCGTTCTCAAGGTGTTAAATCGATATATTACTTAATAATGTTGTCAATTTCCATTTTTTTTACTAATTTATTTTCTATACTGGTAGCTTTAGACTGGTAATTATAACTATCCAAATTTCTCCTTATAGATTGGTTAGTTGAAGTACACTATGACAAACAGAACATAACCTAACTCCTTCCATTCTATTTTATATGACAATATTTGAATGGCCACATTGCCACGGACGTTGAGATATTAATTTTGGTTTATATATTATACTAGCTATTGTGGAACAAAATATTAAAGTAATGATTAAAAGGTTTGATGGAGTCTTGGAGAAAACATCATATCAAAGTGTTAAATTTGAACAATTAAACGAATTTGAGCCATTGAATTGTGAAAGTTGTGTGGAAATGGATTGGTATAAAATGTTTGAAATGTTTAAAAATGGGAAGATTGTCATATAACTTGGAAAGATGGTACTTCTACCTTAGGAATAGAGACACAAAGAGAACTGCGAGCAAATAGCACACCTTTCAAGAGTATCAATACCGTCACATGAATCGTAAATGCATGAATGTGATGTACAGTCGCCATCAACCTATTATGGTGAAATTATTGGGGATCAATTTCATACAAATTTTGAGCATGTACCTAAATAAGTAAGGCACTATTCGCCTGTCTCAGAAAATTATATACAAGGTCTTCTAGTTTCAGTCTATATATGAGGATTCGTTATGAGTTAGCAAGTTTTACATCGGCTGCCAGCATGTTGCAACCCCTCCTCCGTTATCTGGGTTTAGGACTGGCAATATGAGCAAGCTCACACAGACAAAGTTAGTATGTTTATTTTGAACGTATTGCTTTCCAAGTAGTATTTTGACCTTTATATGTAAGTGAGTATATAAAGAACATTTAATATTATTATTTACTTATATATTTAACTTATTTTTCACTTTTATTTCCTTTTTTGGTATGATGATGACATGAGTTAGATTTTAAATGAGGAGATATGACTAGTGAGGATTCATATAGCCAACCCCGATTTGTTTTGACAGAGGGGTTGTTTGTTGTTGTCATACCGTTCCGACACCCCCTCATACTCCAAAATCTCAATTGGTATCTGTCATTGCTTCTCTCCTTTTAACAAAAAAGCAATTTAATAGAGACAAGTGAAAACACTTAGATTAGATCTAATGAAAATGAAATGTTAAACGAGAATGGGTATTAAACATGAAGAAAAAAATTATGTGCAAAATAAAGTTGTCTAACAACATTCGATATCTATAAAGTTGGTCAGTTAAAGAGTCCCCTGGGTTTGATTGTCTCCTATGCTACTGCAGGTTGATATTGAAGGTGTTGAAGTAAAACCAGTCTCTGTTGGTACCTCTCGCGGCCTACGTGTAGGTCAAAGTTGTTTTGCCATTGGAAATCCGTATGGATTTGAAAACACTCTCACAACTGGGGTAATACATTTCTACAGTTTATTTATAAGTTAAGAAATATACCCGTGTGGAGACTCATTTTATGGTTTCATTTCCAGGGAAGAGCGTTTCTAGCATTTATTTTTCATGCATTTCTGTTAAACTTACTCAGTATATAACTTGTAATCTTGATTTCCTTTGAGGATGCTAAATGTTTCCATTTCTATTGAACGGCAGCTCTCTCCTTTTACTGTATATAGCTTCTCATTTGATATAAACAAAGAAAATATTCTATTCAGCTCATACTCTCAATATCCTAAAAATGCTTTAAACTATCGACTCTCCATAATTCAGTCATACCTACAAAGGGAACCAAAATCATGAAACTGCTGAAGTTTATAAATTAATTTAATTTGCTCATGTTTCTCCATGCCATAGAGAAAGGAAAAAAACAATTATTCATAGGGAATAAAGATAGTTAATAAGTTACTATTGTTTATTTGATTACCTCAAATGTTACAGGTAGTTAGTGGATTAGGCAGGGAAATACCTGCACCAAATGGAGCTGCCATTAAAGGAGCTATTCAAACAGATGCTGCAATTAATGCAGGTAAACATTATTCTTTAGTTTTCCTGTATAAGATATGATCACTTGTGAGAAAATTATGGTGAATAGCACATGTAGGGGTGTCAAAAGGGTTGGGTTAATAAATTGGTGGCCAAAAGTTGCTTGGGCATAACCCAAACGGCTCAATTCTTACTAAGTTTTCGTTTCATTGCTTGTTCTTTTATAATTTTTTAGTACATAATAAAACTTATCTTTTTTATAAAAAAAATTATGGCTCTATAGAACATATCAATTATAAAGATTGTGTTTTGAAAATATTTTGACAAGATTTCTCAGGGTCAATTTAGGCTACAGATGAAGCAGAACTTCTTGATGGGGTGAAATGAGTTGAGTTAATAAATGATTAGCCCTAACTTGGATGGGTTGAGCGGGTCATGTTTTCAAGGGTTAACTTTTCACCCTAAGCACAACAGTCACCTCTTCATGATGTACTGTTTGAGTAGGATGTACCACATTGTTTAGAGAGCAGAGCCAGTTAAATGGTTGTTTATCTGGTTTAAATGAGGATGACGACAAGGTTGAATGCCAGTTTGATTTAGGGGGATGAAGTTCAATTTCTAACTGCAGAAATTGTCAAAGTAGAATACTTTTACCTGATTAGAACTCATAATTCATCAAGTTATGCATGCCAAGATTTAGTTTGACTTATAGTTACTTATGCAGGGAATTCAGGTGGTCCGTTGATTGACTCATCTGGTCATGTAATTGGTGTAAATACAGCAACATTCACCCGCAGAGGTAAGAATGATTGCTTGATATTCTTCTTTTTTCTCTTTCTTATTGGTGATCCCTCGTTTAAGATTTTCCCTCTCAAATACGTTTTTACATGAATGCTGGCAGGTCTGCATCTGCTGGTTCATCGCTTACTGACATTATTAAATGCCTGTTGCTTCTTATCTTTACACAGAACATGTTGATTCTTCTGCTCTAGGTTGACCAGGATAGAAGTAAAAGCATTGGTGTTCATCATATTCTCATTTTTCAAATTTTAACTGTTTAAATTCTGCATCACATGGAATCATCAAGCATCTTACCCGTATCCTAAGCCAACGTATTAGGTAACTGTTGAATTTTTGTGGCCTGGTAGGATCTAGTTCTGTCCTCCCCTTCGGGAAAATGTATTTGCTTTTCCCTCTACCCTAATACTGCAGAACATATGCACAATCTTTTATCCATTGCCATTTATATACTTTTTTATGTCAAACTTCGTATACAATTAACATAACTTCTTATTATTTGGCATTAACGTTTCGGCTATCTAAAAGCATGTTACGGATTGTGCTTTGCATAACAAGGTGTAAAAGATGTGCATTTTATCATTAATCCCTCAGAAGGATCAGAGGTTATTCCTTTCTAAGAGTTTGTCAAGAATAGAGCTGAATTAGCATAGATCAGTAGAAACTTAAAAGCTTACTAATCCTAGTGACTGCTCAGGAATTTCGCTAATCTGGCTGCATCCATAGTTACATGATCAAAGTTATAGTCGTAGTTTGGTAAAATTTAAATTTATTTAATTAGAAATGTGGTATATCAAGCTTGGTTTCTAGGTTAGAAAATTGGATTGGCTTAGATTATAATCCAAGCCTAATCACAAGGTTAAGAGCCTATGCCTATTACAAAAGCTGTAGTTCACCATCCCTAATGGCCTATGATGAAGTATGTAGAAGCCTACTTAGCACACAATTCTAGAATGATTAACATATTTACTATTGAATCTTAATTAGCCTACAGGTTACATCATTTTGTGATTTTACTAAAGGACCTTTAGCCTTCGTTGCTCAAACTCTCCAAAAATGTTGTCACACCCGTATTCCTCCAATAATCCACTACTTTTGGAGGATTTAACACGCACCCGGCAGCATTCTTGAAGAATCCGAGCAACATAGCCTTAAGTCGCGTCCTGCAAAATCGTGTGATCTGAAAGAAATTAAAGCTCACACTTATTTGATGCTGTAGAGTTGGACAGGTGAATCTGTAATAGTCATTTCAGTTACTTGATCTTTAATGAGCATCTACTTTTCTTGCTGTTCACAGGAGTTTAATACTCTCTGGTGACCTAGTCTTCATAAATATTTTATATATACAGAAACTTAGTGATCAGAAAAGGATGAAATCTGAGGAAATTTCTAATTGCTTTTGAGATTTCATTCATGTTGCAGGCTCGGGTATGTCCTCGGGGGTTAACTTTGCCATACCGATTGACACAGTTGTACGGACCATACCTTACCTGATCGTTTATGGAACAAGTTACAAAGACAGATATTGAATATCTGTAATCAGAAAGTTACTTGAAGGAAGGTCAGGCCAAAGCATAAGGAAGGAAGGTCACTCATAAGCGAATTGAGCTATAGCTCTTAGCGCTTGTGATACATATTTCATCATGTAGATAATTCTTGTCTATAAATATTCCATGATCCAACATTAACAATTTTTCATCTCTTTGAGTGGTACCTTTGATCCTTAATGCAGCTTTAGTTTGTTCATTGGATGGTATTAACTTGACAAAAAAGGCTTCATTTTAGAGCTGGAAAAAGGCCATGTTATTAACTGCTACTCTTGTAGCTTTCACAATTCATTTTTCTTATGTGGAAAAGAAAAACATGAACCAAACACTGTATTCAATATTATGTTTTATGTGAAGAGAAAACCAACTGAACATTGTGTAACTTATGCTAAATTCTATGGGAAGATTATTTTCCTCCATTTAACCAAACAATGTATAAAGTCATGCTAGTTCTAATACATGGGTAACTCCTCTCTAACCACCAACAAAACGACCCCTTATTTACCAAAAGAACCAAAAAAAAAAAAAAACTCTTATCAAAGGTCAAAATTAACTGGACACAGATCAGTGAAGTAATAAATTGTCATATGCATCATTGACACTCCTGGCCGACTGGTCTACCAACTGTTTCACTTACACTGGTCATCAAAACATATTTTTTCTTATAACTGAGATATCCCCGAGGACTAATGGTGCATGCTTTGAAACTCGGTGGATAATGGACTTGTCCTACGATCCTTCTCCACTTACACATCAACAGTTCCCCCTAACAAGATTCAAACTTGTGAAGTGTACTTGATCCACATCACGTGTTGCTTTCTTACTGCTAGAAAGCCCCGGGGCCTAGTCGTCAAAATTGGAACTTTATAATGGATCAGGGGCAGGGGTATCATGGTAGGAGGAAACCATCCATAAGGAACATTAGAGAGAGGAATGCAGCAGAAAATGACAAGTTTATCGATGACAGACTCATCAGCTTCTTCCTAGAAGAGAAAAACATATGATAATATAACACCAGTAAAGTTCACACTTGAAAATGAAATAATCAATGGTCACGATGAATCAAACAGGGAAGATGTTCATCCAATTGGATCAAGTTTATCGCCACGAATAATTAAGACTTTTGCTCCCCAAGCGACATTAGGGACAACTGTTCGCCAATAGAACAATCCACATGACATGTTTTCCGGCATAAGGAAGGGATTAAAATGAGACCAAGAACTCGCTGTTCCATTGGAGAAGGGGCAGATCTTCTAGTGCTACGGTACTCGACTGCATCTTGAAGAATTATGTTTCCTTGCTTATCAATACAATAAAATGTACCTAGAAAGAATCTTCCATCACTTATACCAACCAGCATTCGTCGATATAGTAGCTTCTTGACATGAGAGACATATTTTGAATTGTTTGTCTCTAACTGATTTGAGCTTCCAACTTCAGATAGGTATGTCTCTAGTTCCTTGGTGCTCATTTTAGTCCAGTTTAGATCAATGAAGGAAATTTGCCGTACAATTGTGTAATTGTAGCTACAGCATATGCTAAGACAAACAATTAAACCATCAACTCCTCTTCCCTGCAGAAAGTTAAGACAGGGAATTAATCAGGTAAATTTTGATAACCGTGGTGTCCAGACTGCTCTTGGGCGATATATTCACCCCTTTGATTCGTGAAAATACATGAAGATACATTAAAGGGAAAGCACTCAAAGCAAACTCTCAAACAGAAGATCTTTTGCTAATTTCTCCTCCCCTCTCCTCTCCCCACAGTGAAATAGAACAAGTGATAGCAGTCGAGAAATGAACCCAGTATATATAAAAAAAAATCAAGAAAATTGTGATATCCTGGAAGTGGGTGTGAACAAGAAAAAGAAGAATCTTCTTAGTCTTTGCACTTATGCTTGAACAAGGATATTTATAAGGCATAATACATAAATTTGCCCTTTAACTTGGCCTCATTTCATATTTATGCCCTCCAACTTTAGGTGTATACAAATAATTAATTAAACTTGTATAAAGTTGAACAAGTAGACATAAGAGGCATATGTGGCATAAACCACGTATGACACAAATTGTCATGTAGGATGACATGTAGGACACGTAGGTAATTCTTGAATTAAATTTCAGCAAGTTTATGTGTTCTAGCATATTATATGTGTTGTAGCATAAACGATTTGGTTATCTATTATTCATGTAAGCAGTAAGATCCTGATATTCTTCCGTTGTGCATATAGCTTTTCAACAATTGGTAACAGAGTCACACTTACATCTAAATGTATAAGCTAAAACTCTACACACTAAATCATCTACTATATAACTAAACAGACACCATAAACGAATATATGATCTATTAAAATTGAGCAAATATTTATTCTATAATAAATATTATTTCTTAACATATGGTTAATAGTATATATCCCAACATAAGTATCTATTGTGCACACTCAAAATTGGACGGCATAAATGTGAGCTAAGACCAAGTTAAAGGGCATACTTATGTATTATGTCTATTTATAATAAAGGAACACCTATCGCAGAATAAGATACTCAGCTCCACAGCAAATAGAGATTAGCACACTTTCGGGCAGAACATAGAATAGTAGAAGATCCAACATGCAGAATACAGCGACCATTATAAAGTCACAATTTAGAAACGATATAATACTCATTTTCTAAGTGTCTTTCAGAAACAGCCTCTCTACCTCCACGAGTTATAGGCACAAGTTCTGTGGACACTCTAGCCTCCACACAGACAACCACTTACGGGACTACAATGGGTTTGTTTTTGTTGTATAATATACTCATTCCACTAAAATGCAAATAAAGATGAGAAATGTGGTCAATATCACAAAGAATAAAGAAATTCACAAATTGAGATTTGTCTATTAAAAGGATCGAATTGCATAAACCGTCAAGATACTCAATTTGGGGGTTAATCTACCAGATAAATCATATAAGCTAAACTCATCTCCTTGAAAAAAACATCATTAATGGCTATTATGACAATCCCAACAATAAATTCTTAAATAAACACATTCAAGTTGAAGGATTGAAAACTATATTTAAGGTTGAATCTCAAAGCCCTACCCCCAATATCTCAATAAAATTAGTAGTAGAAAGTAATTAGCAAGAGAAGAAGAATTTCAGGGCTACCTTTGCATAAAAGTTTAATTTTGCAAAATTCTCGAAGAAATGAAGCTCCAAAATATGTGCAGAACCCGTTATTACAATCTCACTTTTCTTTGCTTCAGCTTATGGCCCTCTCTCATATTTGTATAGGCATCTGTATCTATATGGGAGGAAATGACCAAAAATACCCCTAATATATTGGAAAAGGTTTTAAGATACCCTTGGTTTATTTTTTGATTTAAAAATACTCTTTCTTTCACCTGTCTAAAAACCCCCTCAATCAAAATTGAATTGAATTTTTTTACTAATTAAATAAAAAAAAAATTATTCAAATTCTTAATATTAGCTCATCCCAAAATATTTAAGTCTAATTATATTTAAAATAAAAAAATAAATTTATTATGTTGTGAAAAATTATAGTGATGAGGAATAAAGGAAAAAAGACAAAATTTAACTAATTATATACGTAGTTAATATTTAAGATTTTAAATATGATCAATGACAGTAAATAAGAAACAAAAAAAAGAAATTTTGTTCTCAAGATTTCGTGATAGGTGTTCTTATCAAGATCATTGATTGTAAATAGGGGGAAAAGAGTTTTTTTTTATATTATTGTTATTGTTATTTTGGGTCAGTGACCACGATAAATAAGAGTCCGTTTGGATTGACTTAAAAAAAATAACTTTCTAAAGTGCTGAAAGTTATTTTAAAAATAAGAAGTTATGTGTTTGGATAAAAAAGTTGCAGTTGAAAAAAAAATTGTTGATGTGTTTGGCAAATAAGTGTTGTTAATCTAAGGTTTTTATTTCTAAGAAAAATTAAAATAAAATTAATTTATATTTTAATTCATTTCAATAACTTAGTATTTAAGTTAATTTAAAATGTGCAACTTATTTAAAATTTCAAAAATATATAATTTGAATAGTGTTATATTCTAGTGTTTTGATGATCCTCACAAATGCAGGGACCTAGTCCCTGGCAGAGTGCTCTCGTCCAGATACAAATGGAGTACAGCTATAAAGCTGTCATGTCAGGTGGTAGGTGAAAAGTGCAGTGTCCTACCCCAATAGGAAGAGCGGACGAGATTGTATGCTTCAGTGTCTCACAAATGCAGGGACCTGGTCTCAGGCAGAGTTCTCTCGTCCAGATCTATAATGGGGTACAGCTGTAAAGTTGTCGGAGGTTGGTGAGGCGTCAGCGTACTACACCAATCAAAATGGACGAGGGTGTTTATCCAATGGGTAATAACTCTTTATGGTTGATATTTTCTACATGACAAACACCATATTAAATTCATTCATCCTAAGAAGGAAGTCAGTCAGCAAGCCTTTTCAAAAACCCACAAAGAAGTTTGCAAGGGACTTGGACCCTGTAAGACAGCGATATGAAAAGGTGACAAGACAGCCGTCAGAAAAGCTGCCACCTCTGATGTGGTAGGTGAGAAACTTTTCTGAACAGCATGCTTTCAGCCAATAGGAGTGTTTCAACGAGCTTTTGTTGATTTATATCATCTCTTTCCAAAATACACAAACTCAAGATTTGGCAAACAAAAACTTGAATTTTCTTTGAAAATTCACAAGCTTGAAAAGAGAAGGTCATCTTCAAAGAAGAACATTGTTCATAACAACAAGGGACCAGATGGAGTGCTAAAGCATCTTGTTGTATTTAGAGTTTTGTGTCTTATGTGCTTACATTGTAAATATGTTCCTATTCTATAAATGATTCAGATATTTTATTTCGTTTTCTAAAAAGTCTAAGTCGATTAGAGTTAACTGATTTAATGCGCAGTGTTGTATCTGCTTAGTCAAATTCTAAATCATCTAGAGTTAGGTGGTTTAGT